CTTGTAAACTTCTTTTCTGGCTTTTCTATATATGTGAATCCAAGCGAAATGCGTCAACAAAGCTTCCTGTTGATGCTTTTTTTTTTTTTATTAGAAATATAAAAGTCAAAAGTCTGTCTACTTTGCTCCATCCAAGCACTTTAGCATAGAAGTAGGAGTGCTTCTTTTTAAAGACATAAGATTTTTGTACAAAAATACTGGAAGCGAGAAAGGTCAAATAAAAGATAACATACGTTCAAGATCGATTAAGACGAGAGCCTCTCCCTCATCTGAACGAAGAGCAAAAGAAAGATTCATACGGCCGGATATAAAAAAAGATATGAAAGAACCAAAAAACATTTTTTTTTACTTGGTGCATGACTAGCAAATCCTCATATCATAAAAAATGGATTTTTTTAGTTGTCTTAAAGCGGAAAGAGAATTGGAAGGGAAATATGCACTCCCTGGATCAAGGACTTCTGGTATGCAATAGATGAGACTACTCTAATCTCCTTTTTCTTTTCAAAACCTTGGATGATCACAGGGCATTATCTCACTCTTAGAAAATGGGTGGTCTTCTGATCGGTCTAGCTCGAAAGGTCGTACTGATCCCAGGTGTACCGATAGTGGTCAAATAAGGGAAGACGTGTCACAAAAGATAGAGCTCCATTTTTCGAACCAAAGACTTTGAGCCTGCTTCAGACCAGCCTCCCTCTTGATTCATTCTCAATCTGACTTGATCTTTGTGGACTTAGCCTCCACCCACCCCCGTCCAAGCCCCGGCTGAATCAACACCGACCAGCAAGAAGCCCGTTTCATAGATGGATAACCCTGCTATGCTAAGACGAAGTGATTTACTCAAATAGGCGATAGGCCAGCATTATGGGATTAGGACAGCTCCAATCCCTATCTATTGCGCGTGAAAAGGAAAAGCTCTTTTTATTCCTGGCAAACCACTCCTCTCCCGTCCGATCGAGTCTGCGTCTGCTTCTTTTATCTCCTTCGTTCCCCAGCTTTCAGTGAAGTTTGATTTTCCTCTCGGGCATGTTGGAAGTTTTCTTGTAACGGCTGCTATAGAATCTGCTTTGAATGCTAGCTACGCTGCAAGAGTCAGTTCAGAAACCCTGTCTGTGGCTGGTCCAGTTGGTGAAATGACACCTTCCTACTTAGACAAAGCTGGAAGGATACATCAGCAGCCTTATTCTCCCTTTAAAAAGGGGGAGAAACCGCAGAAAAAAAAAGAACCTACTACTAAAAGATAAGAAAACTACATCCCTTTCCTGCCCTTTCTTTGAACGTTGTCAATGCTGGGCTGGACCCTTTAAAGCAGAGGCGCAGTTGCCTGGAATCTTGGTATGGAAAGGATTGAATAAAGTAGCGAACTCCACACTGACACTTGAAATTGCGTATGAGAAAGAGAGCTAGCTAAGGCAGCCATGCGTCTTTTTACGTCCGAAATGAGATCTAGATCAAGCCGCTAAGGAGCGTAAGCGCGTTTACGGTATCTCTGGGTAGAGGCCTTTTTTTCAGTAACTGTCACAAGTGCAAGATCAAAAGAATTCACTCAACGAGTATGTGATCAAATTATAAAGAAAGATGATACCGAACCTGAGCGCTCCCCCTTCCCTTCGGGGATTCTATGTGCTTGAAGCGATTCCAGCTTTGCCTTTTCAAATTTCCTGCGAAACTTGACTGACTTCGTTTGGCCTTTCACTTTCATGCTCTTCCCCTCGCTCAGTCTTATCCAATGGGGAATTTCATAGAATTCCAATTCTTTTGATGCCAGAAGGGAGAATTCAATTCCATTTCGAAATGCTTTTCGTAAGGCAAGGAAATAACTGAAGCCGGTCTTTTCTTTAAGCAAGGAAGCTAGATAGAGGACGAGTGTTACTAAGCCAGAAGTCAGCCAGACAGTGGCTTTAATTGACTATGTCTTCCGTGTCCTTCTTTTCCTTTTAGCTCAGAGAGGGGCCCCTTAGGGAGCGGGGCTTCTTTTTTAAAAAAGAAAAAGAAAGGGGGGAGAGGGAGTTTCGAGAACAAAGCCCCCGGATTTGAAAGTTCAGTCCTACCCTATAGTGGAGTATCTTTTCCCTATCTAAGCTATATCAACATAGCCAACTAGAAAACTCATCCGCTTGTAAATTCTTGGTGTAATACTCACTTGTAAATTCTTGGTGTCAGAATTTTTCACTGATCAGGTGTGATCAGTTTCATCCGTATAAGAATGAGGAATTCCTCTTCCAACTCGTCCCAGAATGGGCGTTATGGCAAAGAACAAAAAGAAAACAAAAGGAGGAATTTGTCCAATAGTCACAAATGGTGCCTCCACAGGTTGACATCCGATCCAACCTAGTAGTAAGCAATCCGCCAAAAGCAACCAAAATATTCCTTGGTGAATCGGGCGAAAACTTGAACTACGCACATACATACTTTTAAAAAAAGGTAAAGCCAAAAGACATATAAAAACTGGTGCTATTGCGGCTACACCTCCCGATTTGTCAGGTATACTACGAAGAATGGCATGGATCGGTAGGAAATACCATTCCGGCACAATATGAGGCGGGGTGGGCATCGGATTAGCAGGTATATAATTGTCGGGATGCCCCAAAACATTAGGAGCATAAAAAATCCAAATAGAAGAAAAGATAGCAAAAGCTACCCAACCTACTAGATCCTTTACATAAAAATAAGGGTAAAAAGAGATTTTATCCATTTCTGAATGTACACCCAATGGATTATTTGATCCATATTGATGCAATGCGGCCAGATGAAGAAGACTGGCGCCTACTAAAATAAAGGGGAGTAAATGATGAAGACTAAAAAAACGATTTAAGGTGGCATTGTCCACGGAGAAACCACCCCAAAGCCAAGTCACTATGGTATCTCCTACTACAGGTATGGCGCTAGCTAAGCTTGTAATTACTGTAGCTCCCCAAAAGCTCATCTGACCCCAAGGTAGTACGTATCCTATAAAAGCTGTCACAATCATTAATAGGAAGATAACAACTCCGAGACACCAAACAAATTCCCTAGGACTGCTATAACTCGCATGATATAGACCACGAAAAAGATGAAGGTAAACCACAATGAGAAACATACTTGCCCCATTAGCATGCATATAACGGAGCAACCAGCCCCCTTCAACATCTCTCATAATGTGTTCTACGCTGTTGAAAGCTAGATCCACATGAGGTGTGTAATGCATAGCTAAAAAAACGCCAGTCACTATTTGAATGACTAAACAAAGACCAGCTAACGGACCGAACCCCCACCAATAACTAAGATTGCTCGGGGTTGGATAATCTATCAAATGCTGATTAAGTGTGGAGGATATAGGCTGTTTAAGAAGAGAGAATCGTTGGTTCCTTATAGTCATTTCTCTTTCCTATCGTGACTACTCTTGTTCCCCCACCTTTTGAGCGTTCTGGGGCCCTACTATATATATAATATATATATATAATATATATAGTACCCTTTCTTTGACTTTTGAAGGATGGAGGGGGTATACAGCGAAAGAAGCGTCGAATGGGTCATCCTGGGTTACTGAAGGGTCGTCCGACCGCTCGGTGACCGAATCAGAGAGGTTTTTACCGCTTTCTCTTCTCTCCAGCACTCTTGGACTGATCATCTTGCTGCAACAAAGCAAGCTTAGGAATGAATCTAATGGAAATTTAGGTCTCTGTCCGCTTGGAAGATTATTCTTTCCTCTTCGGTGAAAGAGGGAAAAGGTGTGTGGGAGAAAGAATGATAAAAGGAGAGAAGATCTCGTCCGCCAAGCGGGACAGAGTGCGACCCCTAAGCAATTGGAGGTTCTCGCTCATCTCTTGGGGGTCCATATCATCTTCAAACTTTTCCTCTTCCATTAGCATAGCTAAATTTGAAGAGGATGACTCAGCGTCAGGAAAAGTAAGCCCCCCTTTGCCTTGATTGAATTTGGCTTCGCTGCGCCCTGAATCAATCAAAAAGCTTATTGATTTGATTCATCCCATTTCATTTGGGCGAGAGGGAGGCTGTGAGTCACCCGGGCTACGGATTTGTCGGTTGGTTGATTCTCTAAATCTCCTCTTGAGAAAAAAAAAGGCCCTCGGGTCCCGACCCACAAATGAATAGGAAGCGAGGCGAGGGTCTTTCATTAAAGGGGGAAAAGAGGGGTGGGGCTTTGTTCTGGGGGGCCGCCTTTCGCAGCTTTAGAAAGGAGAGAATTTCATAAAGTCACTCTCTCCAACCTTTTCTATCTATCTTTAGAAGTAGGGCGAGAGAAAGTCAATATGATATTTGCGTTGGTTTTTCCAACGAAACTAAGCACTTTTTTGTCTTTCTCATTCGGAAGGCTCAGTCCCACACTCTGACTTCAATGATGGGAAGAACCTCCGCACTCCGGCGCTCCAATGAACAAGAGTTCTCCGCCTTACTATATTTAGAATAGTGGTCGGGAGTGACATTCGTAACAACATGTTATGTTCACGCGGTGATATTCTATCTTTCCAAGAGTACTATCTGTACCTAGTCTATGTCTGGGGAGCATACTTGACAGGAGATAGACACAGGCGGTAGAGAGGTCCCCCACTTCGATTCCCGCCCCGTTAGCATCTCCGATCCAAGATAAGGGATTACTCCGTTAGGTCTTTTCGGTCCGGAGCCGGCTGGTAATGAACCTACTTACCTTGCTTGTGGACCAGCTGCAGAGCTAACCCTTGTTCTATTGGTTTGGTGGTTGCTACCAAGACGATTTCTTTATGCCCATCAAAGGACCTCGAGATGCTAATCCACGAAAAACGATACGAGAAATTCGAAAGAACTCATATACGGAACGAGGGCGACCCGTGGAAATACATCGGTTTCTTACTCGTGCAAAGGAACTCTTTCTTGGCAACTTGGACAACTTATAACGATGTTTGTCTCGCATATCACTAGGAAGATCGGGATCTTTACAAAAGGCTTTATAAAGCTTTCGTCTCAATTCATATTTAGCCGCGAGCAATCTACGTTTGTGATCTCGTATATTTCGCTTCTCCGACATC